GCATTAAATAAATATTTGCTAGATGAACAAAAGTCTGAAAAGGTAAGGGTTGAAAAAGAGTTACAATCGGGGCACCTGCGTGGCTCAGTCGGTTAAGTGTCAGCCTTCAGCCCAGGTCGTGATCCCAGGGTCCTGGGATCGAGCCCCACATCGGGCTCCCTGCTCAGTGAGGAGCCTGCTTCTCCATCTGCCACTTACCCTGCTTGTGCTCTCTCTCTCAGATAAATAAAATCTTTAAAAAAGAAAGAAAGAAAGAAAGAAAGAATGAAAGAAGGAAAGAAAGAAGAGTCACAATCAAGAAATAGTTCCAAAAGGTCTGTGAGGAATATATTGCACCTTAGGAAATAACACAGTACAAGAACAGTACTCAATGAAGAAAGGAAGAAGTCTGGGTGGAGAAGTAGAGATTATAAACCCCAAGAAGAGACAGAGAACAAGATGGAAAAGTTACTAATCTACAGATGCACAGGCAAGACTAACTGGAAGAGAGGGGGTAAATATCTCAGTCTCACCTCATAAACATGCAGCACCTCAAACTTGTCTTTCACTAGCACTTGCAGGCACTCCTTTCCACCTACATATTAGTAAGCTCCTCCCATGCTGGTTTAATGTTTGTCACTTCTCTCCTCCATGACTGTCAGGCATAATGCTGCCTTGAAAGAAGCAAGGTAAAAAAAATAATAATAATAAAATTAAAATTAAAAAAAAGAAAGAAGATGGGGCGCCTGGGTGGCTCAGTCGTTAGGCGTCTGCCTTCGGCTTGGGTCGTGATCCCGGGGTCCTGGGATCGAGCCCCGCATCGGGCTCCCTGCTCCGCGGGAAGCCTGCTTCTCCCTCTCCCATTCCCCCTGCTTGTATTCCCTCTTTCGCTGTGTCTCTCTCTGTCAAATAAATAAATAAAATCTTTAAAATAAAAAAAAAAAAGAAAGAAGCAAGGTGTCCAAGAACCTAGATGACATCTACTCATTGTTTCTGTAAGATAGGACAGCAGTTAACATCTGAAGAGCACTTTACCTTTTTAAGGCAGTTTCATGTACTTTTTCTCTACAGAAATATTATAGAAGTATTCTCTTTCCCATTCTTTAAATACAGATTCATAAAAGTATTCAAAGCCTTGGATTTAAATCCCAGCTCTGCTAGATACCTGCTCTGTGATCTTGGTCAAATTATTTACTCTCTCTGAGTTCAGTATCCACTGGGAAAATAATATTCACCTTAAAGGACTGCTATGAGTATTCAGTGAGCTAATACATATAAAGAACATGCCCAATAAAGGGCAGTAACCTTCCCTATCGCCTCCTTAAATAATTTGTACAGGATTTCTCAGCTAAGGAAGTTCATAAGCCTAGGACTTAAACCCAGGTCTCCTGATTCCTTAATCTGTCTTCTTCTTACCACATCACTTTGGCAGACTGCCACATACTACTGGGCACATAAATACGTTCTGACAATAACTGATCACAAAATTTTTATCTATCAGTAACTAATTTTAGCTTTGCAAAAAGGGAAAAAAATAGATCTAATTAACTAGGGGGGGAAAAGGGGTTTGAAAATATAAAATGTAAATTACCCCCAAACCACGGGACAGGTTGTACCATAGTACTTCTGTACAAAAAGAAATTATGACAAGAAACAGAAAGTTCTCTCTGGGTTTATGAGAAACAATTGGAGAAAGAAACAAGAATGACTATGATTAAAGGAACTTAAGGGTTTTGTGTTTTGTTTTGTTTTGCTTTGTTTTGTTTTTTGGTAAAACAAACCACTGGGCAAAAAGATCTGCATCCCATCCCAAAATAACTCTATCAAGGCCGAGACACATCTTTAAAAAAAGAGACCTGGGGCGCCTGGTGACTAAGTCGGTTTGAGCTTCCGACTCTTGGTTTTGGCTCAGGTCATGGTCTCAGGTTGTGAGTTCAAGCCCCATGTGGTAGCGGGGAGTCGGCTTGGGATTCTCTTCCTCTCCCTCTGTTCCCCACCCAATGAGCGTGCACTCTCTTTCTCTTTCAAATTAATACATAAATCTTTAAAAATAAATTTTAAAAAATTAAAAAATGGACGCCTGCGTGGCTCAGTCAGTTAAGCATCTGCCTTCGGCTTAGGTCATGATCCCAGAGTCCTGGGATCGGGTCCCGCATTAGGCTCCTTGCTCAACGGGGAGCCTGCTTCTCCCTCTGCCTGCAGCTCCCCCTGCTTGTGCTCTCTCTCTCTGGCAAATAAATAAATCTTTAAAAAAATAGTTTAGGGGCGCCTGAGTGGCTCAGTCGTTAAGCGTCTGCCTTCGGCTCAGGTCATGATCCCAGGGTCCTGGGATCAAGCCCCGCATCAGGCTCCCTGCCCAGCGGGAAGCCTGCTTCTCCCTCTTCCACTCCCCATGCTTGTGTTCCCTCTCTCGCTGTGTCTCTCTCTGTCAAATAAATAAAATCTTAAAAAAAAAAAAAAAAAAGATTTAAAAAAATTGTTTAAAAAATTAAAAAGAGACCTCAGTGTGCTAACAACAAAACTCTTTTTTTCCAATTCCTTTCAGGGCAAGATAAATGGGAATAGTGAGATAAACTGTCAACAAAAACTGTCAACATTCATGAAGACCCTTGACGATCATAAATGTTTGGATTCAGTATTAATAAGGAGCAGAAAGGAGCATGATCAAAAAAAAGTTTTGGGGCACCTGGCTAGCTCAGCCAGTAGAACATGCAATTCTTGATCTCAGGATCATGAATTCAAGCCCCTCACTGGATGTGGAGCTTACTTTAAAAAATAAATTAATAAAAGCATAAAAGTTTCATACGATTCCTAACGTGTTGAAAATATTTTGAAAATTATACAGTATAAAAAGAAGTTATTACAGTTAGTAAAAATAACCAATTGTTTTCAAATGACATTTATAACTAATCTTTTCCAAGTGACAGACGTAACTCCTTCCAGGATAAGTTCTAGAAGATATTCAAAGAAGTTCATATCTTAATAATCCCCAAGAACTTTCTCACTAAAAGAGAAGATAAAACAATTAAGTCACATTCTGAACCTGTAAGTTTCTGAAAGGAAATGCCAGAAGAGAGCCTGATCTGACAGACAGAACAGACAAGATTTAACCAAGAAAGGTAAACAGTGGAGTGAATTTGTCAAAAAGCAGGGTAGAAGCTCATAAGAAGCTCTATACCTATAACCCCACCACCAGCACCAAAACCAAATTTCTTGTCTTCTTCAATCCAACTTAAACCTCTGCTAATTATCTCCTACAGAAACATAACAAAATGTTCCTAACGTTTTTTGTGACACTCACAGCAAACTCCATCTATTATTTAGCATTAATTAGGAGCTGCTGATATACTATACTAACTATAAATTCTATGCAGAATAAATCCCCAGGAGATAATGTCACGGCCTTCTCTAAATTCTTTCCTCTGTTATAAATTTCTCTTCTACCATAAAAACTTTTCCAGAGAGCACACATTCTTAGCCTAACTTCCCAATGTAGATTTTCCACAGTCTGGTGGCTCTTCATTAAACCCTTTCTGGAAGTACTGAGGTCCTGATAACTAGGAAATCTCTCATGATCAAGGGCCCTACATTTAAATATTGCTGACCTCAAAAAAAAAAAAATAGAGGAACAATAATCTTTCCAAAACTCATGAGAATTCTAAAAAAAAAAAAATCATAGACTTGTATAGTTTCCATCTAAGAACTAGAAATTTAGTCTATTTTCTCTTAAAACCACTGTCCTACTGATTCTACAGACTATGGAAATACTTATTCAACCTAGAATGACCTCCAGACTGAATATTTTTTTCAACAAAAAAGCTACGCAAATTAGGATCATGACACTGAATCCAATGAAAATAAAATTAATAAGAACACTTAGTCCCCAAAGTTTCCAAGTTGGGAGAGAAAAGGAAAACACAATGGAGTTGCCGGAATTTTAACTTTCTATTTAAATATCTCAATATTTGAATGATTCTTACACACAACCTGTTTAGTATATGCATAACTAAACCACTAATCAAATATAATAAAACTGTTCCGAACGCGCCTCCTTGGGTTGCCTCTGGATTCTTCCTAGAAAGCACTCTCAGGACAAATATCTGATTTCAAAATCTTGACCATCCTCCGTTGGACATTAACCCATTTAACACCATAGTTAGAAGATTTCCACTGAGAACAAGCTGAGGGGAAGGAGAAGAAATAAGTATCAACCAGAAAGCAAACTGGACAGCAAACGAAATTTTCTTATCAAGAAACAGAATTGTCATTGCTATTCTCACGAAAATGATACAGACTTTGACAAGCAAAACCAGCATGGTCTCTTTACTTATGAAGTACCAGTGACAGAATCTGATTTCCTAGGTAGGAGGGATCACAAATGACAAGTCTCTGTGTGCATAAAGTGACAGGTAAATAGAAAAAAAAAAAAAGGCGAACTTGTAAATGACAAAAAAACGACTTAAGGTGCATTTAAAGATCTTTGGGGACATGGGGAAAAGTCAAGTACCAGAATTCAGTCTCAGTTTCCCCACCCCAAAAAAGCAAGAACATGACACTTCGCTAAGAGTAGACTGGGGGCCATGTTCCACTTGCCTCCACCTACTCAAAGGTCCCTTCAAAGGCCGGACTCAGAGGGGGTCCCCAGCGCAATTGAGTCATGACACCCGGAGCCGTGGGGGTGGGGAGGTGGGAAGAGAAACGGAGGGTCAAAGCGCGCAAAGCTCTATCCGTTCCTGGAAAGCGATTTTCCCCCCACACTAGGGGTGCCAACACCCGCCCTAGACCCAACATCCCCTTCCTACCGAACCGCGCAGAGCAGCCCCAGCATCTCTCCCTCCTTCTGGCCTCTCCCTCAGTTCCCCGCCGCCTCTCCGACCGCGCCCCCGAACACAGCCGGGTAGCTCCACCTCCGGCCGTGTCTCCGCGGCCGACCCGCCCACCCACCCGCCGGCGCCAAGGTCTTCTCAACCCGCCGGCGCAAGGATGCCGGGCCGGGCCTCCCAGGCTCCTCCCGGGCCTACCTGCAAGGCGGGCGGGAGCTCCGTCTGCAGCCCAGCGGGGGGGACTCAGCCACCGACTGGAAGAAGAGGCAGGAAGGAAGCAAGGGGTCCGCTCTACCGACCAGCGGGAGAAAGCAGCCTGAGCGAGAGGCCTCGCAGATAAGTCAGCCTTCGACCCGGCGCCGCCGCCGCTCAGAAGACATCAAGCAAGAAGACGGCGCAAAAGATCACCGAATACACAAACGCCTCAGACATCGAAGGAAGAGCGCCCAGGCAATCGTTCGAGGAAGTGCAGTCGAGCGCCGAAAAACAGCTCAGCTCCAACTCTAGGTCCGACTCCTGTCCAAGGCATGAATAAACAAACCCAGATCATAAGCCGTGGAGTAAAGTAGCCGGTGCTCCTGCCATTTTCTGTGTTGGTTGCCAGCTAAGTCGTTTAGAGCACTGGAGTTTTTCTTGGGTGTTGAAGATCAAGTCGTAGCACAGTAACACTTGGCAGTTCAGCGACTACATTATGCGCTCCCAACACTATTTATCCCAGCTGAGCAAGTGTGACTCTTAGTTTCCTCACGGACAGTGAGGTAAATAAATATATATATATAGGACAGGCACAGAGAGACAATGAGAGAGAATCCAGACTGAGAAATAAAGTGAGTAATCGCTGTTAAAGCTCCACTTTAGCAAAGCGTAGCAAAGAGAAGCTGGGAAAATTCAGGGTTTTGTAGGCTGACCTGAAGGCAGGACAAAAAAAACCCAAAAAAACACATGCTTTTTAATTTTATTCCAAAGGCCTGGGACCACAGGTGTGCTTCTTACATAATAATCAAAATTCTCTTTGGGTCAGAACCTGACAAAGTTGACATTTTCATCCTCACAGCAATAGCCCCTTTCTGAAGTCTGTTAGTAGACAAACTAATATGCTCAGCACAAATGTGGATTAATCTGTACATCCTAGGTCAATTCAATAAATCACATAGATCACTCCAAATATGGATTTACCAAGTGTGGGCAATAAATAATACAGTCTACCCTATCCCCTCCTAAGGAGGGAGGGAGGAGACTTGGACAGTAAAGGTGTAAAAAGAAGTAAGATAGGGGCGCCTGGGTGGCTCAGTTGGTTAAGCGACTGCCTTCGGCTCAGGTCATGATCCTGGAGTCCCGGGATCGAGTCCCGCATCGGGCTCCCTGCTCGGCGGGGAGCCTGCTTCTCCCTCTGACCCTCCCCCCTCTCATGTGCTCTCTCATTCTCTCTCTCAAATAAATAAATAAAATCTTTAAAAAAAAAAAAAAAAGAAGTAAGATAGTCCCAGCCCTTAAAGAGCGGGTAATCTAATCAAAGTGAAAGACCACATCCTCAAGGCGGCTGGGTGGCTCAGTCAGTTAAGCGCCTGCCTTTGGCTCAGGTCATGATCTCAGGGTCCTAGGATTGAACCTCCATGGAGCTCCCTGCTCTACAGGCAGCCTGCTTCTCCCTCCCCCTCTGCTGCTCCCCCTGCTTGTGCTCTCTCACTCTCTCTCTCTGTCAAATAAATAAATAAAATCTTAAAAAAATAAAAAGACCACATCCTTACAACATTAGCTTTATTTACAATTTATTATAATTTTTTAAAAATCTCCTCCTTTAAGTCTGTAACTTAATATTTAAGGGACAACTCATGTATATAATACAGGATAAAACCAGCATCCATAATATGAGGACAAAACACTGCGTTTCATTGTCTACTACTGTTTTAGGGGACTTAAAAATGAGTAAACATTATAACAACATTTACAAAAGTCTAAAAAAAAAAGAAAGAATTTAATAATCTGCTTCCAAAACACAAAGTTTTAATTGGTTCATGTTCCCATGCAGTCCTTGGAAATATCCTACATAATGTTTTAAAGTTTAAGCAGAGATACAACAGTGTTATTTTGCATTAAATCATTTCCCTATTAAATCTTTAATAGTTGTGGGGCGCCTGGGTGGCTCAGTTGGTTAAGCGACTGCCTTCAGCTCAGGTCATGATCCTGGAGTCTCAGGATCGAGTCCCGCATCGGGCTCCCTGCTCGGCAGGAAGTCTGCTTCTCCCTCTGACCCACCCCCCTCTCATGCTCTCTCTCTCTCATTCTCTCTCTCAAATAAATAAAATCTTTAAAAAAAAAATCTTTAATAGTTGTTATTTTTAACAGTTGCACAATATTGCATTGAGAGGATATACTGACCTTGCTTCCCATTGTTGGATATGCATGTTGCTCCCAAACATTTTCTGTGTAATAGGTATTGCTGCTTTTGGAAAGAGGCAGTTGTGACCTTTTTATTAATGATTAGGACCTATTGCACATAAACAAAAAGAGTAAGGAAGCAAGGTAGAGATTTATTTCTCTGTCATATAAAAGAAATCCAGAGATGCACAACCTAGGGTAAGGTGTGGCCATTTGGTGTCAGGGACCAGGCTTTCATCCTGTTGCTCTGACATCTTCAATAAGTGGCTTTCATCTCAGGTCCAAGACAGCTGTTCGAGCTCTAGCCACCATGTCTACATTCCAACCAGCAGGAAGCTGAAAAGAGAAAGGCATGTCTTCCGCCATAAGGACATATCTTGAAAATAGCACAGGACATTCCCACTTATATTCCACTGGCCAGAATTTAGTCACATACCCACACCTAACCGGGAATTAGTCTTTATCCTGGGCAGTTCTTTTTTTAAGATTATTTATTTATTTATTTGACAGAGAAAGACACAGCGAGAGAGGGAACACAAACGGGGAGTGGGAGAGGGAGAAGCAGACTCCCTGCCGAGCAGGGAGCCCAATGCGGGACTCGATCCCGGGACTCCAGGATCATGACCTGAGCCGAAGGCAGTGGCTTAACCAACTGAGCCACCCAGGCGCCCTATCCTGGGCAGTTCTAAAAGTCAAGGGCCAAAGAATACTAAGTGCCAACTAAATAAGAAGTCTCTGCCACATTCCTGAAGCCAGATGAGGAGCAGCAAATAGACTTCCCTTTGCTGTCATCCAGGGCTGAGTTTCTATTCCCAGAATATATGTTTTAGAGAAGCTTCCTTCTTAGAAAGGCTTGTGGGGCATAAGCATCTAAAGCCACAGCCCTCATTCAAACTTGACCCAAATAACATTGTTTTGAAAGCTTGATTTCAGTGAGAAAAACTAAAGAAACTAATTTCAAGGCTACAAGCAATTTTCAGTCTTTCAAAAATTGGAGACTTTTATTTTGGGGAAAACACCTGAAGTTTATGCAAATATAAATCTAAAATCAGGGGCGCCTGGGTGACTCAGTCTGCCTTCAGCTCAGGTCATGATCCCAGGGCTCTGGGATCAAGCCCCGCATCCGGCTCCCTGCTCAGCGGGGAGCCTGCTTCTCCTTCTCCCTCTGCCGATCCCCCTGATTGTGCTCACGCTCTCTGTAAAAAAATGGATAAAATCTTAAAAAAAAAAATCTAAGATCATCACCTGAAAATGGAGATATTTGAGAAGATGAGGCTAAACTGGTCTGTGAAACCATGGAAAAGATGGCTTATTCTGCAGGCAGAGTTGCATCTCTATAGATAGATTTCTCTAGAGAACTGTTTCTTCACAAGTGTGGATTTAAGCTTCAGTGTGACAGTAAACTACTGCTTGCTCTTATGGGAGTCAATGTGGACAGAAGAGTAGATCAAAGAGATCAGGAATTGAAATCCTCAAACCTACAGGAATCTCCTCACACTGGAGGAAGACTTAAAAAAAGAAACCAGGTGGGCAGAGTAAAGATCATACTGGGATATATCACTGATGCTTACATATTGGTGTTATGATTCAATAATTCATTCTTTTTTTAAGACTTTTAATTATTTATTTGAGAGAGAGAGAGAGACAGGGAGAGAGAGCACAAGCAAGGGAGAGAGGGAGAAGCTAAGAAACTAAGAATATGTGTGAGGTCTCTATTTTGTATAATTTGAAATTGGTAAACCAGTGATGACCCAATATTGTGGTTTTCTCTTAATACATACTGGGACTTTGCTGTCTTGAAACAGCTAAATGAGCCCGACGTGGGGCTCGATCCCAGGACCCCGGGATCATGACCTAAGCCCAAGGCAGACGCTTAACCAACTGAACCACCCAGGCACCCCTCAATAATTCATTCTTATGTTGATTACTGATTATTGTATTCTGATTGGATTCTCCTGGAGGAGTCACCCCCTTGAAGGTAGGATGATGCTTCCCCTGAAGTAGGGTGACCATCTGTCCCAGTTTGCTGAGGACTAGGGGTTTCCCAGGACAAAGAACTTTCAATGCTAACACTGCAATAGCTCTGGGCAAACCAGGACAGTTGGTACCCCTAAGAACGGACCTAGCCACTGCCAATCACACGGAAGGAACTTGTAAAGACTAAGCCAGGAGGGGCGCCTGGGTGGCTCAGTTGGTTAAGCGACTGCCTTCGGCTCAGGTCATGATCCTGGAGTCCCAGGATCGAGTCCCGCATTGGGCTCCCTGCTCAGCGGGGGGTCTGCTTCCCCCCCCTCTGCCCTCTTCCCTCTCGTGCTCTCTGTCTCTCATTCTCTCTCTCAAATAAATAAATAAAATCTTTAAAAAAAAAAAAAAGACTAAGCCAGGAAAAGAGGCTTGGGACATGTAAACATGGGGGAATTGCCTGGCATGAAGGGTGAAGGGAGGGAAAAGAAGGGGAGAAAATTTTTCCTTATATTGGCTCTGGGCTCTAAGCAACATCTACTACACTCTGCATGGTAGAAATTGGGCCTGAACCTAGGATTGAAAGAACTCTGTAGCAGTACCGTGAGTCATCTTATTAGGAATTCCAGGAAGAGGAATTGGGCCTTGAGCAGCCAAAATGATGAGCCAATTGTAGGTTTTGCTGTTGCAATTCTGTTCTGTTCTTTTGTAGCCTGGTCTCATGGCACTGTGGGTTAAGGTGCACACTTTGGGCTGGATGGTAAAGTAGAAGCAGGGTAATGACATAGAAGCAGCACAGGGAAAGGGAGAGATCCCAGAACAGCAGGTAATCATTCACAGAATTAAAGGAAGTGCTTCCTTCTTTGGAATTATTTATACAGGATAAATATTCAGTGGTACAATTTATCAATGGATTGAAATGTATGAACATTTTTTTTTTTTTAAGATTTTATTTTTTGACAGAGAGACAGCCAAGAGAGGGAACACAAGCAGGGGGAGTGGGAGAGGAAGAAGCAGGCTTCCTGCCGAACAGGGAGCCCGACATGGGGCTCGATCCCAGGACCCTGGGATCATGACCTGAGCCGAAGGCAGATGCTTAATGACTGAGCCACCCAGATGCCCCAAAATGTATGAACATGTTAAGACTCTAGAACGACAAAGAAATCAGCCCTTTCATAAAGAGAGCTCTATATATAAGGATTAAAGTCTCAAGAGAATGATAGATCCTTAATGTTTTGTTGGGCAAACATGGGTCCTTTCAAATGGACTTTTTTATTTGTTTAATGTACTAACTTAGGATTTCAAGGTCTAATTTCCTTGCTCCTCTTTAGTATCCAGAGATCTCGTTATTCCTATTTGACTATCGCAAAGGGGGTTTAGAGTGCAGTCGTTAAAAAAAAAAAGAAAGAAAAAAAGCCTGTGCATTTGATGTGTTAGGGAACTGAAGTTGAAGTGTTCCCAGCATTCAGCTAGTACTTTCCCTTCTTTCCTGCATTGCCATTTTTAGAGTCAACAAACTCTTAATCTCTTATTCTTACCACTTCATAAATTCTGGGCTGGACCTAGAGAGCAATACAGGTCCTGAGGACATGTGCATGCACAATGATTAAGTTTCCTTGATTTCTTATTTTCTTGTCCTCCTCCTAACTTCCCCTCCATTGCCAGGAACGGCGACTGCTAGAAGCTCAGTCCTTGAGCTGTTTTCAATTTATCATTTCAGGTCAGGATCAATCACAGTATGTCTGTTATCTGTCTAGCTTCTATTTTGCTCCTCTCCCCACCACCTCTTTTACGTCTTCACTATATGACCCCATTAGTCTAAACTTAGATTAATTTGCTATATATCCTTTACAGTCCAAGGGTCAGGAAAGGAGCTCCATCTCTGTTCAGTTCATTTTAAACTAAGAATGGGTCTGAGATCTCTATTTTGTATAATTTGTAATTGGTAAGCCAGTGATGACCCAATATTGTGGTTTTTCTCTTAGTATATTCTGGGACTTTGCTGTCTTGAAACATCCAAGGGCAAATCTGGAAAACTCCTATGCTGACCAGATGGCATCATCTCTGGGAAGATGAAGCTTACATAAGACAGACATAATCCTTGACTCTTTCCCAAAACTGTACCAGGGAGATACTAAAAATCCACAATAAGGACCTCAAGAGAAGACTTCACAGGCACTTATAAAAAGCCCCTAGGAGCAAACCCTTGGCAATTTGGAAGTACAGACCCTGATCCCACCACTAGATCATTTTGGGGGAAATTGTAACTAAGGACTGAAAAAATCCTGGTCTATAAAAATTCACGTTGAAAGGAGATTAAAAAAATAGATTTGAACGGTTATTCTGTGAAATTATTAGGAAATAAAATGCTCCCAGGGAAAAACACTGCCAGCCAATGTTCACTCGGTTCAGCACTTAGAAATTATCTTTGATGTGCAAGTAATAGACTTGAAATTGCTTTTGAAAGCTCTCCAAGACTGTCCCTCCCACTCAGGCTTCATGTTACCATCTAGTGAGTTATGAAAAACCCCAATTTTCCTTTAAGGTAGTTTTTTTCAGGCTAAAATGCCAGGCATTTTCGAAGTTCACACTCTACCTTGCCACTTATGATACGCAGATGTCAGTCATCCTTTCCTCATGCAATATGCACAACAGAACCAAAACTCTGTAGGGAAAAATACCCATCTCAGGAAACCTGGAAAGACTGCAAGAGTTAAAATATTGCCTCATGAGGAAGACAAAGCAAGCTTGGTAACAGGTTAGACTTTTCAAAGGAAAAATATGTAACAGGGCACCTCCGTTGCACAATGAGTAGAACTAACATTCCTAGGCACCTCTTCGTGGTCCATTCTCATCTCCATGACGTCATTGTACATATCAAGCTCAACCTCCTGCCAATTGGACCCACTCTTTATAGAGTAGGATGATGATGGGAAATAGCATTTGGAGTAGAAATAAACAGCAGATAATAATCCATAATTGTTTTTAATCGTGGGGATGAGTCACCCTCAATTTATTTCCAAATTTCTTCTGTCATCAGCTGTTCATTTCTTTACTTTGAAAATCACCAGATTAACACTGCCAAAGGCAGGTAGGAAATGATCCAAGAGCACAATTCTGAAGTATCACATGGTGAGCTGATGAGAAACTGGGAACAAGACAATCCTCAGGAAAGTCTTTTTTGTCCCAGCAAAGGAACCAAAGTGTGAACCTAATTCACACTTTCATTATTCCAATCAGGTTATTTTTATATCAGTATAATTTTAGAATAAGACTTGGTGGGGGATTATTTATTTTCTGGGAAATTCTGTCCATCACTTTGCACACAAGATATCCAAGTAGGTCTAACACCAAAATTCATTTCACACCATGAAATTATGTTCCTTTTACCTTTTTTACTGTTTTCACAATGCCTTCTTTATTCCCTAAATCTTCCTTCTACTCAAGGAATTTCAAAGCAGAATGGCCAAACAGACATTCGAACATCATGAGCATAAGAAATGTGATCTATTTAGATGTGAGCTGTCAAAACCTGGGTGAATCTCCTCTGTCCATCAATCTATCGGGGTCTTTAGATCTGTAAAGTGTAAGCTTGCTATTTTATCTGTATTTGACTTGTCTTCTTGAAGCTCTTTGGGTTTTTTAAACCGATTTAGCCTCTAACTCCTACTCTGGGTTGGAAAGAGGAGATTGGAGTCCAGATGTTCTCCCTAGAAACCAGGTCCAAGTCACAGTCCAACTATTGCAGAAAGACGAAAGATGGATTCTTCGGCTGTCCCTAACATCCTCTTAAAAAACACAAAGCTGCAAACTCAGATTAGTAGCCACTTACTTTTGTCAGAAGACCACTCCCTAACTTAAATTTGCTCTTTACACTTGCCTCAGATGATGCCTATAGTAGGCAGCAAAGTAGAAAAGCTAAAATCCCATCCAATAATTCAGGACAAATGAATATTGGTTTCATTTGAAATCTCTAGATAATTAAATAAAAAACATTCTGGCTGAGTGCCATTTTCCCCTTTGCTTTGATTTTATAGGCACAATCATAAATGTCTGCTACTAGTGAGTTTTCAAATGAGTGGTGCTCAGCCTGGAGTTCAGTGGATAGCAGGGAAATATTGGCTTGGTTTTGGGTTAGCTAATATATTTGCAAATGAATCAAGATATTCTGGTATAGCCACAACCCTTCTAAACCACACAGACTAGGGCGCCTGGGTGGCTCAGTTGGTTGGGCAACTGCCTTCGGCTCAGGTCATGATCCTGGAGTCCCAGGATCGAGTCCCGCGTCGGGCTCCCTGCTCAGCAGGGAGTCTGCCTCTCTCTCTCTGACCCTCCCCCCTCTCTCATTCTCTCTCTCAAATAAATAAATAAAATCTTTAAAAAATAAATAAATAAACCACACAGACTAAATGTCAATTTGTGACAAGTGTCTACATATTCAGTCATGCTAGATGATGGAACTCTGTAGGGGGTGGTGAGGAGGAAAGTTTGTCACAACTCCTTCTGGAAAGTTTCCCCTCCCCTCCACCTTTCACATTAGCTAAAATGAGTGAGCATCAGTTCCTGACGGATTCGGTCAGCCTCCAGGTCCAAGGACTCCATGTGCTCATACTCTTCTTCAGGGGGCTGTTCCATGGGTCCTGTCATTGGAGAGGACCAAACATCCATCCCATGCTCCAGGGAGATGTTGTGGAGGACACAACAAGCCAAGATAATGTGGCTGGACTTCTCTGGTGAATACTGCAGTGCTCCCTTGGATCCATCCAGGCAGCGGAATCGGGAGCAGAGGGTTCGGAAAGTTTTCTCAATCACACTGTGAGTTGCAGAATGCGCCATATTATAGCGATATTCGGCCGGAGTTTCAGGAATGTGAAGGGGGGTCATGAGCCAAGTACGCAGAAAGAAGGAACTGTCACCTGTGGGGAAGGTCCAAAGAAATCATAAATCATTCTAATTGGAATACAAACAGAAAGGAAAATCTAGGAACATATACAGAGAATGGATAAGAAAATGCAGACTCTGGAGCCAATGTGCCCCAGAAAAACCAAGAGGGAAATGTGGTAAAAAGAAGGCATGCCAGGATCATGAGAAGGAAGACATAGGTCTTGGCTGGAAATATCCTTGTTAAAAACAACAGAGAAAAAGGCTGATAGCTTAAAAAAGAAAAGAAAAAAAAAAAAAAAAGGCCACGTCTGAAAAAATGTGGGAAGAAGGTGAAGGCACTGAAGGAAATAAAAATCCCAGATTTTCTGAACTCAGAGATATTGTTCTTTAATAAAAGGTTAGTAAAAACTATCATATAGCAAGCCAATCTTCAAAATCTCCAAAGAGAAAAAGTGCAAGAGAGAAAAAAGCAAATTCTGCCAGGAGAGCTCAAAATACTTGTGAGGAAAATTTCTAACTTTACCATTAAAGTGTCAGGTCTGAAAGCACTACCTAGGGATTTCAGAGTATTTCATAGAAAACAATCATTCATTCTCTCAGTGCTAAGAACAGTAAGATGAAAGTCCCAGTGCCTGTGGCAGAGATCAGAACTCAGGCGTTCCTAGATATTACATTCACTAGAACCATGCCTTTGTAACAGAGAGACTGGCAGAATTTCACATTAACAAGGAGAACATAAATACAATGATACAAATAGTAATAGCGATAAGGAAATCAAATCAGAAGTCAATTAAAATAATAAACACGAGGCATTTTCCTAAGGTGACTTCCTTGTCGAATGATCTCAGGCAGTGTTAAGAACAAAATAAAACTCAAGACTGGGATGCAAAGTCCTGTTACAACAAACAGTACAATGTTTCTATGATGCTTAATTGTCCTGACTCTCTACAGTTGGCAGATGAAATGTCTCACACAGAGGCACAAGCCCTTAGAAATCTGAGACAAATAGGCTCTGGGAGTACCAACTTGCACAATAGCTGTGTTCCTGACCCACTATCAGTTTTGGTAAATAGTTATGAACTGTTCAGAGTCTAGGTCCTGTTCCAAAATATACAGGACTCCTTTCTTTCAGGAGCTTACATTTTTAAGAACTGGATCAACTTTAAGAAAATTTTTTTATGTTTTTACTTATACATAATTGACATATAACAGTGTATTAATTGTACATACTGGAATGGTGTTAAATATTTAAGAAGTCTCATAATATTTTCAAATTTTACATTTAGTTGACTTTTTTCCCCCTAAGTACGAACTATTTTAATTGAACTCACACCTACTAAATACTGAAGAAACTGATGCTGTAAATAATAACGACAATAGTATCAGTGACTCATTGAATACCTACTATGTAGCAGGCACTGTGTTAGGCACTTTGAAAGTATTATCTCTTGGGCGCCTGGGTGGCTCACTCGTTAAGTCTCTGCCTTCGGCTCAGGTCATGGTCCCAGGGTCCTGGGATCGAGCCCTGCATCGGGCTCCCTGCTCCGCGGGAAGCCTGCTTCTCCCTCTCCCAATCCCCCTGCTTGTGTTCCCTCTCTCGCTGCGTCTTTCTCTGTCAAATAAATAAAATCTTAAAGAAAAAAAGTCTTATCTTGTATTATCCAATCCCGACCCTGCCAGGTAGGATATTATCAAACTCATTTTACCAATGAGAAGATCAAAATATCAGTCAGCCATCCTGTGATATGCCATGCAAAGGAAGGAGAAGGAGCTAGTCACTAAATGCTAATGTCAGACTCAGAGTCACAGAAACAATGGTGTAATGCTGTAAGAGAGTAAGATAAACATTTACAGTGAATGCCAAAGCACAGAGATACTAAATGGTATTCGTTAAACATTTCTCTAAGAAACAGTATGAGCCTTAACTGGGGAGACATAAAGGATAAGCTAGTTAATACAGACCTTTTATAACATGCCCCATGGTTATTACCTGATTATAATTCAAGCACCACTGGAAAACAGACACTCAGGAGGGGATTAGGATCAGAATTGCTAAACAGATTACAATTGCTTACATGATCAGTCATCCACAAGACATTCTGGCAGATCTTACCCAAAGCTGCTTAACAAGACTAGGCCAAGAGCTGAAGAAATAAGAACTCAGACTGAATCCTTTGTAGGAGTAGGTACATTTAGATAACAGGAATAAGGTAACGCAATTCTGAAGGGAGAGATGAGAATGAGGAGATGAAGGATGACACCATGGTAAAATTATGCTAAAAAAATTCAGAGGCTCCCATATATCCCTCCTTTGATGGAAACACTATTCTGAATTCTATGTTTGTCATTTCTCTGCATTTGTTTATATTGTATCTAAGCAATATAATATTGTTCTTCTTGGTTTTAAATTTTACCAAAATGATTTCATACTAAAAACAAAAAATGAAGGGACTCATAATCAATTCTACATTTGGCCAATTTAGAACTATTCCACAAATCTGATGGTGTTAAGATATGATTAGCCATCTTATCTTTTTTACCATCTTGTCATCCTCATAATATTGCCAATCTTCCCCGAAATTATTACCCCATTATCCAACAAATCCTTTAGATACCAGTGTTTTCCAAACTTACCTATTTGTACGAATCAGTTGAGGCACCTGTTAAAAATGAATGTCTAGATTCTTTCCTTGAAGATTCTCATTCCCAAAGTTTGAAATGGGGCTCAGTGATGTATATTTTTTTTTTAATTTTTTTTTTTTAATTTTTTATTTATTTGCAAGAGAGAGAATGAGAGACAGAGAGCATGAGAGGGAGGAGGGTCAGAGGGAGAAGCAGACTCCCTGCCGAGCAGGGAGCCCGATGCGGGACTCGATCCTGGGACTCCAGGATCGTGACCTGAGCCGAAGGCAGTCGCTTAACCAACTGAGCCACCCAGGCGCCCAGTGATGTATATTTTTAATAAATTCCCCAGATGACTCCCTTGATCTGGAAAATTTGTGAAACACTACTAGTTCAGGGGTCTTCAAACTAGTTTTCCTGTTAGAGGTAATGGAGGCTTTGCAAGGGTTATATGCTAGAACTGCTAATAGTACTAAGGGAATCAATTTCCACCTGGGTATACTTTTCCCATCCCTAGTGCCTAGCATGTAGCCTGATACCAAAATTGGTCTTAATAAAGATTTGTTGGGGCCCCTGGGTGGCTCAGTTGGTTAAACGACTGCCTTCGGCTCAGGTCATGATCCTGGAGTCCCGGGATCGAGTCCTGCATCGGGCTCCCTGCTCAGCGGGGAGTCTGCTTCTCCCTCTGACCCTCCTCCCTCTCATGCTCTCTGTCTCTCATTCTCTCTCTCAAATAAATAAATAAAATCTTTAAAAAAAAAAAAAAAGATTTGTTAAATGTTACCATATCCATCTCTCCCACTTCCACTCTTCCTGTAAAGAGGGTAATCAGGAAAGTATATAAAAATTTACCAGAGGGGCACCTGGGTGGGTTCAGTCGTTAAGCGTCTGCCTTCGGCTCAGGTCATGATCCCAGGGTCCTGGGATCGAGCCCCGCATCAGGCTCCCTGCTTCGCGGGAAGCCTGCTTTTCCCTCTCCCACTCCCCCTACTTGTGTTCTCTCTCTCGCTGTGTCTCTCTCTTTCAAATAAATAAATAAGATCTTTTAAAAAAAAAATTATCAGAGTTGAGGTGTCTGGCTGGCTCAGTCAGTATAGGATGTGACTCTTGATTTTGTCATGAGTTCAAGCTCCACATAGGGCGTAGAGCCTACCTAAAAAAAAAAATTTGTCAGCTTTCCCTTATTTCCAACTATGTCCTGTAAATACCTCAAAAAAACCGAAGCCATGTTTCCGACTAAATCTGGGGTCCCAAGGTGTGAAGGAAAAGAGAATAAGTAATTCCTACATGACCTTGAAGTCCTTAACAGAGGAACTATTTGCCAAATAGAGTTAATTCTTCATGGGACCTAGTTTTAAAAGTTAACCAGAGGGGCGCCTGGGTGGCTCAGGTGGTTAAGCATCTTTTGGCTTAGGTCATGATCCCAGGGTCCTGGGATCGAGCCCTGAATCAGGCTCTCTGGTCTCCCTCTGCCTGCCACTCTGCCTACCTGTGCACTCTCTGGTGAACAAATAAATAAATAAATAATCTTTTAAAAAGTTAATGAAAGTTAACCACAAGTGACTTAGATATTTGTGCCTTAATTTCCTCCTCCATAAAAATGTTGATATTAGTATTTAACTTTTCAAGAGTTTTGTTTTTTTTTTAAAGGGGAACATTTAGAATCACTCACACTGGCTGTGTTTCCCTTTTTTTTTTTTAAAGGTTTTATTTTTTCTTTTTTAAAGATTTTTTTATTTATTCATTTGAGACACAGAGATACAGAGAGAGAGAGAGAGAGAGGGAGAGAGCATGAGCAGGGAGAGAGGCAGAGGGAGAGGGAGAAGCAGGCTCCCCGCTGAGCAGGAAGCCCGATGCGGGGCTCGATCCCAGGACGCTGGGATCATGACCTGAGCCGAAGGCAGACGCTTAACCATCTGAGCCACCCAGGCGCCCCTTAAAGATTTTATTTATTTATTCATAAGAGACAGAGAGAGAGAGGCAGGCTCCCCGCTGAGCAGGGTGCCTGATGCGGGACTCGATCCCAGGACCCTGGGATCATGACCTGAGCCGAAGGCAGACGCTTAACCATCTGAGCCACCCAGGCACCCTAACTTTTCAAGTTTTTATAACAATTAAGGGGGATAATCCAATACAAACTGCTTACAACACTGCCTGACAAGTTCTAAGTGCTCAGCATACTTTGGCTGGCTTTACAATAAGGTACCAAAGTCATTTCATAAGAAACGAGCTTGGTGGCTCAGTTGGTTAAGTGTCTGACTCTTCGTTTCTGCTCTGGTCATGATGGGGGTGTGGGGCCTGGGATGGAGCCCTGCTCAGCAGGGAGTCTTCTTCTCCCTCTCCCTCTGCTCTCTGTGCTCTTGCTTGTGCTCTCTCTCCCTGAGCGCTCTCTCTCTCAAATAAATAAATAAAAAATCTTAAAAAAAATGAAATTTGAAATTCAAAAAAGGCACAAGGTAGGATTTTTTTTTAGAAAAGATTTTATTTATTTATTTAACAGAGAGAGACACAGCGAGAGAGGGAACACAAGCAGGGGGAGTGGGAGAGAAAGAAGCAGGCTTCCAGCGGGGAAGCCCGATGTGAGGCTCGATCCCAGGACCCTGAGATCAGACCTGAGCTGAAGGCAGATGCTTAACAACTGAGCCACCCGGCACCCCTGGAATTTTTTTTTTTTTAAGATCCTGGAATCGGGACCCGAGCTAAAGGCAGACGCCTAACTGACTGAGCCACCCAGGAGCTCCCGCACAAGGTAGGATTAAGAAAAAAGTCCAGTAGGATAAAGAGAAGGGGGTACACTGATGACAGAATGTAGAAGCAACAACTCAAGAAACTCACTGAGTTCCAAGACATCACACGCAGTACCCTGGCAGCTCTAAACCAATGATTGTGACAGCAGTCTCTTCCCAGTTGGAACAGGGAAGAAATAAAGAATATTAAAGAGAAATAATTTCTGAGCATCTATTGCATGTTAAATACTGTTATGAGCACACTCAGTGCAGATATGATTAGTGGTTTTGAAAGAGAGGTCTTCCAATCCTTCATGTTTCTTTTCATCTCTCACATAATATGTTGTATAGAAGATAACCTTTGTTCTGTTGCTTACGTAATCCTGTCTGCTTTAAAACAAACAAACACACAGAATTAAGCTGCCAGGCTCAAGGATATTATCACTGTTACCCAACTATATTTCTCCCAGCTATGCAGTCACCCCAGTTTGCACTGCTCAATTTTGAATGGAGTCTTGTCCTACTTACATCACTAAGTTAGGCTTCCCAACGGCACTTGGGTAGATCTGTGTAGTGAGCTCCCACAAGAACTGCGGAAATGCACTGTCTGCTATCATTCTTCTTTTTTTTTTTTTTAAAGATTTTATTTATTTGAGAGAGAGCAAGTTAGAGACAGAGAGCACGAGTGACGGGGGGGTGGGGGGGTGAGGGAGAAGCAGACTCCCTGCTGAGTAGGGAGTCTGACTCAACTTAGGGCTCAATCCCAGGACCCCAGGATCATGACCTGAGCCCAAGGCAGACACTTAACCAACCAAGCCACCCAGGCGCCCCTGCTATCATTTTCATATAGGTATCATAGTGACAATAACCAATGACAAAAATCTTGTATTTGTACAATACTTTATAGTGAACTCTCATATATATCACCTAATCCTAACAACAGGTATTACTGCTGTTGGCATTATTTTTAACATTTTACACATGATAAAAGTTAAAGCTCAGTTGTATGGATGTATTATATTTAACCAGATCTGTCCTGATGAAGAATTTCAGCTGTATTTAAGGGAAATGTTTTTGTAGGGTTGTTGTTGCTTTTGTTTCCAACTACAAAACACTGCTGCAGCGTAATTTTATTTCACATCACCAGTGTTCAGATTTATGAACATATGCCTCAAGATAAATCCTTCGAAGTGAGGCTCTGGATCAAATATTATGTTTTTAAACTTTAATAAAATGTCTTCTAAGTGTTCTTTTTTTTTTTTTTTTTTTTAATTAAGGCTCAGAGAGTTCTCATCTGAGGTCTCATTAAAACAAGAACAGGGCTGAGACTTAGGTCTATAGATTCTCAAATTTCATTCTGTTCTGCTACATCATTTTTCTATGGCTACAAAATGAAGCATGTGCACCTGCAAACTTACCAAGCAGCCAGCTATCTTTGTGCATTCCGGCTTCAAAATGACTATTGAGGGAAGACTGCTGCAGCACGGCATAGTCCTGTAGGCTGCCTGGCCAGTTGGTCTCCACAGTCATTAGCACCCCTCTGATGTCACACACCATCAGGCAGTTTAAAGAATGCAGGCCTTTGCGGTTCACATAGGAGAGGTCTTCAGCATTTGGTGCCTTGATTGCTACATGGATACAGTCAACCACCCCTATCACCCCTGGCATCCCTGCCAACCCATAGAATTCATCCTTTAGAGCCTGCACGGAGGCTTCATCAGCTGGAAAGCGAATGAACTGTGTGGCTCTTTCCACAAGTGCTTCAGTTACATTAGCAACACAGCGACTCATAGATGCCTGACTGATTCCAATAGCATCTCCCATCCGAGTCTGGAAGGAACCTGAAGTATAGAAGCCCAGTGCTGCAAGGATCTGTGTCTCTGGGCTAATAGCTCTGGATCTCTGAGTAGGTCTAGAAAGACTCGCCCCCAAGAGCTCCACCAAGTAATAAATGAACTGTCGAGGAAACCCATACATGGACATCAAGTATTCATCAGTGACGTCATCCAGCTTAAAGCGGTCCAATGTCCGGTGACCTCGGCCATAGAGTAAGAGATCACAGTCAAGTACTGTTATTGGTATAGCCATGGTACATGTAAATGTGATCTCTCCTTCCCTCTGCTACTTTTCCTGAATTCCTCCTCCCAGTGAAGATGTTGGTGCAAGAAGGTATTTAAGGAAGTGTCAGAATTCAGCAGCTAACCATCAGTTAAATGGCTCTGGCATTTATAATCTTCTCTCTGTAAAGGTTAAAAGAAAAAAGCATTAGAAACAGACCAAAGACTTTAAAGTGATTCAAAGGGTACAACAACTCCTTTTCTCAAACTTCCAATCTGTCCAAGCAAAAGGTGCTATACCTGTAACTCTGGGTTTTTCTCCACTAACTCATGGCTGCACATAGGCTTGCTGTGGTTTAAAAGATAATGGAAGCTGTTTTGTATGTAGCAGAGCAGCTCCCTCCACACTAGAGTTTGTAAAAAGAAGGAAGGAAGGAAGGAAGGAAGGAAGGAAGGAAGGAAGGAAGGAAGGAAGGAAGGAAGGAAGGAAGGAAAAGAAAATGGGAGATGATTTTTGTAGCTCACTTAATGCTTGGTATTTTAACCGGGGAAGAGCAAAAGATTAATGGAGGCGGGGCACCTAACTGGCTTAGTCCCTACAGGGAGGGTCTCTTGATCTCCGGGTTTTAAGTTCCAGCCCCATGTTGGATGTACAGATTACTTAAAATCTTAAAAAAAAAAAATTAATGGAGGCGATAGCGTAATTATCCATAAGGCAAAAGAGGTCTGCTCCTAACTACACAGGCCACGAACTGGCTAACATGTCTTAACTACTCAGGTCAGGGATTAGTCACGCCGGGTTTCATTACCCAAGCCTTCTGGCTCCACCTGTAAGTATGAGAGGGACGTGAGGGGTGCTCAAACCAGTCTAGCAAGAGAGATGGAGGCAAAAAACTGCCCGCAGTCCAGCCTGGTAGACACAGATCGTGTGCTCTAACAACCGGCTATCCCTTCTCCCCCGAAATCCAAATCCTGAGGCTGAGGGCCAGGAAGCAAGGAAGCCCAGACAGGTTGGAAGAAAGGCGCAAAAGAGGCTGGGTGAGCCAGAGCTGGGATGCGACTCCGTCACTTTTAAAAGGTGCCTTAGAAATGATACTTAGAAATCTGATTGCGCCGGCCACTCAAAGTCAGCCAAGGACCATCGACCCACCTCTCCGCGGCTGCAGCGTTACCAGCAGCACTCCCCACCCACCCACCCACCCACCCAGCCGGATCCGGCCCTCCACTGGAATCCGCGGCCGCGCACTAGCCGCCACGGCGCTCACCATAGGCACCGCCTCCTCGCGTCAGCGGCCTCCCCACGCTGCGTTCTTACTGCCGCTTCCGCGGCGGCGTGCGGTTCGGTGGCGCACATTCCACACTTGGCTCAAACGTTCTCACCCTTTAAAGGACCCCCGTCTTTACGCCCTTCTTTCCTTCTGAGACACTTGGAAAAATTGGTGAGAAAGATTTACATGGAAAGGAAATCAACTTTTATGGTAATTAAGAGGAAAGAGATGAAATAGGGCGTCCAAACTGTAGCGAAAGTGCGGATGAGGTTAGGCAGCTATATTTCCCCCATAGCCCTCTTCCTCCCCCCGCCTTCATCCAAGCGGATGAAAACAAACACTAACGATGGCGGCGCCGGGAGTCGACCGGCCGCTGGGCTTAAGGCGGGAGTGATCGCTTGAGCTGTGAGGGCACTCTTGCAGAGCGCCAGTCAACGTGAGTGCGACAACTCGCGCAGTCCTGGGAGTGAAACACCCGGGGCCCATGAGCCACGAGCCTCCTGAGGCTTGAGGTATCTATCTGCGACCCCTGCTGTCACTGCAGCTCCGGGGCGTAGAGTCCTCAGCCAGGAGGCGCAGCTGGCCGGCCCCAGGCCCCGGCCTCCGTAATGAGAGCCCAGAGCCAATCTCTGTGTCGCAGCTTCGCAGGTACTAACTTTAGTGGGGATACCCCCAGATCATTCAGCGCCCCCGGGTGGGGGGCAATGGATCTGCGGCCTATCGGGTACCTCCTTGTGAGGACTAAGCCGAGTAGCCGCAGTACAGTCCCCAGAGCTTTCTTTGGGAAGTCGGGTTGATGTAGGCCCCGTTGGCCCTCGATGGCTCTTAGTCTTAACAGAAATCCACAAAGCTTTCGTCTCTACTTTCTCAGCTTTTTGGGTTATTTGTAAGGCTTTTTGGAATTTGTGGGACCTTAACTCCGGGATTGGTACCAATATGAGTGAGGTAGGTTTTCATTCAATTAAGATTTGTTGGAAAAACAAACAAAAAACTTGCTGAGTGCCAAATATGTACTCCGCGTGTAGGTGAGGGTGACTGTTGACTAGTGAAAAAAGGGACCCAAGGTTCACGACTATCTTCTTACTGGCAGTGGAACGACCTGTGGAAACCGGCGATCCATTCTCATTTAATAAATCTCTGGGTAAGTGGCTAAACACCTTTTTGGGTTCATCACTAACCCATCTCCGTTTTCACTCTCCAAGTCAGTTCTCAGTTTGCCTTGTCAATTGATCGTAGCATTTCACTTTTAGTATTTTCCCTTCAGAGAGAGAGAGCTGGATCATTATACTTAGTTTAAAACTCGTCTCCTAAGACGGTAGAATTTATTGAACACTTTCAGTAGGAGATGTGCAGTAATAAAAACAGATCCTTTCTTTACACTAATTTCTAGGTTTTCCGGTGTTTTATTAATGTTAATCCTTTTTATATGTGGCTGTTGTGGCCCCAGCTAAATTACAAATTTTGTTTTCAACTCCATTTTTCAGCTGAGCAGAAATACTTGTGAAATGGAATCCTGAGTTAATATTTTTAATGCACAGTGGATGATGAATAAGTGCTGAAGCAAGTGTCAAATGTACTGATTCGTATAATAAGATAAATGCAGTTAATTCATGCACTGTTTTCAGATTGTACCCTTTTGGGTATAAAGTTAAGGCTATGGCAACTTTTGAGATTCACATTTCATAAAAATTGCAAAACACTGGGTTTTCCATTACACTTAACAGTTCTTATTGTGTATTTGTATTTTTTCCCTTAAGAGTGGTTATTAAAATTGAATTTTTTTTTTTAAGATTTTATTTATTTGACAGAGAGATAGCGAGACCAGGAACACAAGCAGGGAGAGTGGGAGAGGAAGAAGCAGGCTTCCTGCCGAGCAGGGAGCCCAATGTGGGACTCGATCCCAGGACCCTGGGATCATGACCTGAGCTGAAGGCAGATGCTTAACGACTGAGCCACCCAGGCACCCTAAAATTGAATTTAAAAAATTGCATCAAAAACTGCAGATCTTGAGCCCCTAAACACTCCATATTATATTGTTTTATTTAAGGACTAAGAATCAGCTGGACACAGTGAAGTCCTACCATATATGCATAATGGAATTATGCTGTATGGAGGTGGAGACAAGAAATCTTTTCTATTGTCTGTCCTGCCCCCATCCACCCTGATTTAACTGTATTAGCTTATATGACCTCCATGACTCAGAGCAGGGTGCCCATAGCCTAAATGCAAAAAGAAGGTACTAACTTTTGAGCTTTCAGAAACCCAAGTCATACTGTGTGAGTGATTTTTCAAAGATAATTTTGACTATTTAGAAAAAGTACCCACTCGATAAGGTGCATTCCCAATATTCTGCATTTATATTTTGCTCAAGTGGGAGTGAAAGGTTTGTTTTGGAATCTTTATCTGGAGAGAAGTTATTTAATCTTAGCAATACCTAAAACACCAGAAATTTCATTTTTAAAGATTTGTTTATTTATTTATTTGAGAGAGAGAGAGCACGAGAGTGCGTGCGCTTGCAGCGGGAAGGAACAGAGGGAGAAGAGTCCCAAGCCGACTAGGCGCTGAGCACTGGGAGACTTGGGGCTTGATCTCATAACCCTGAGATCAGATCTGAGCAAAAACCAAGGGTCCCGCACTTAACCGACTGCACCATCCAGGTGCCCCTGAAACTTAAGTTTTAAATATTTCTTTTCCTTCTAAAACAGTTTTTACTGTATTATGGAAGAGATGAATAATTATATTCATAACACTGGTTGGAATGCTGCTTAGATTAGAAAATGAAGAGTAACCTAAAAAAATTCCTCGGTTTTGACCTTTTATTATTCAACTTCTTTTTCGTTTTTGTTTTTGTTTTGTTTTTTTAAAGATTTTATTTATTTATTTGACAGAGAGAGACACAGCGAGAGAGGGAACACAAGCAGGGGAGTGAGAGAGGGAGAAGCAGGCTCCCCGCGGAGCAGGGAGCCTGATGTGGGGCTCTATCCCAGGACCCTGGGATCACGACCTGAGCCAAAGGCAGTCGCTTAACCGACTGAGCCACCCAGGCGCCTGTTTTTTATTTTTTAATGGCTTGTATGTTGACTTGAGAGTCTTCAAATACTTTACTAAAAGTTTTTTTTTTCCCCCTAAAAGTTAATTCTTTTTTTCTTTTTAAAGATTTTATTTATTTATTTATTTGAGAGAGAAACAGCACGAGAGGGGAAAGGGTCAGAGGGAGAAGCAGGCTCCCTGCTGAGCCGGGAGCCCGATGTGGGACTCGATCCCAGGACTCCGGCCGGGACCATGACCTGAGCCGAAGGCAGTCGCTTAACCAACTGAGCCACCCAGGCGCCCTAAAAGTTAATTCTTGAATAAAGTTTACTTAGATTTTATATGTGGATGATTTGGAAGCCAATTTGGGGTGTTGAGCTGAGTAAGGAACAATTTTTTCATGCATGGGTTTAATAGAGGAGAGGGTGCATAGGTTGCTGGTCCTTGCTTCCTCTCAAATTGTGGAGACCAATAAAAACTGTAAGTAGTCCTTGATACGATAAGGGCATACAGCCAGGAAGAATGCAAAGGAGGCTATCTAGGCCTCTCTGCCCATGGACCATCAACAAACTTTTCTTACAGTTTGGGTTTTAAATCTTAAAAGGATTTTAAATCCTTCAGGAATGTAAAATCAGTTTTAAATCTTTTAAATAGGTTTTTAAATCCCTAAATAGTTGTTTTTAACTGTAGAGTAAACTGTGGGCCAGTTTATTAGAGAAATCCTCTAGGGGTGCCTGGGTGGCTCAGTTGTTAAGCGTCTGCCTTCGGCTCAGGTCGTGATCCCAGGGTCCTGGGATCGAGCCCCGCATCGAGCCCCGCATCGGGCTCCCTGCTCAGCAGGAAGCCTGCTTCTCCCTCTCTTGCTCCCCCTGCTTGTGTTCCTTCTCTCGCTGTGTCTCTCTCTGTCATATAAATAAATAAAATTTAAAGAAAAGAAATCCTCTAAATGCCAGTGTAGGTGGCACAGGAAACTTGTTTTGCCCTCATGGTGTCCCCCATATGTCGTTGGTTACAAGAGAAGGGACCACTACTTACAAAAACAACTCAGTTAACATGAACAGTTGACTGTCGGTCAGTAGTATCTTCTTAGTAAAATAAAGGTAAATAAAGAATTTATAGAAGTTCTAACTTAATACTGTCATTTTGGAAAATGCTGCTTTCACTTTTGACTTTTGATTCACACAAATGTGAAAGAAATACGGAGTTAAAAATCCTTTTATATTCTCTCCAGTCTTAAGGTTTGTCTGTTCCCCGCCCCCTCCAATTCCTTCTGTATTGCCCACAACTATTAAGTCATTAGGAAAGAGATAATACTGAGAAATACTGAAATTTAGATGTCCTCTTTTAATTATAAGTTTAAGGGTGTTTTTACTCCTGAATCTATTTCTGTTGGAATTTTCAAGAGACCAGATATTTGGCCTTATTTATTCTTTGGAATAAATAGTTAATTAAGCATGGCTTTATCTTTATTCCCACCTCCCATTTTCTTTCCGTTTGTTTTACTTATGGTTTCTTAAATTGAATACTTAAGTTTTTAAATTATAAAGTCATTTAGAGCTATACATTTTCTTCTGAATGCTTCTTTTGCTGTATGTCATTTTTTTTGTTGTCAGATACTCTCCATTTTGTTAATTTCTAAGTAATTATAACTTTCGTTTTTATTTCATTTTTTATTATAAAAAGCTTCTTAGTTTATACATGGTTAACTTTTTGTTGTGTATTTCTAGTTTATTGGATTATGGGAAAAAGCATCTTGGAAATTTTTTTTAATAGTCAAGAGTATGATTAATTTATTACATTCCTTGAACTGGAAAGAATGTGAAAAGTTGAGTTAAATAACAAGACCTTTATTGAGGGTCTCATATATAGGAAGTGCTCTTTACAGGAACTATCTCATTTAATCCTCACCACAACTTTATGAGGTAGGTATTACTTACCGACATTTTATAAGAAAGGAATCTGAGATATAGAAAGATTGGATGACTTGCCATGTATACCATTACATATATAGAGACTTGGTTTTATTATTCAGATCCTCTGTATTTTTGTTTATATCTACTTGAGCTGTCAAAGAGGTATGTTGAATCTTCAGGTTATAGTTTTGGTTTGATCAAGGTCTCCTAGTATCTCTAGGAATTTTTGCTTTATGTATTTTATTGCTATATTACTTATATATAAAGGTTTATGGCTGTTATATTTTCTGAGAGTATTTTGTCATTACTCAGTATCCCTTTTAATCTCATTTCATAACTTTTGGCCTAGAATCCTGCTATAAATAATACTACCTTTTTTTTTTTAAGATTTTTATTTATTTATTTGACTGAGAGAGACACAGTGAGAGAGGGAACACAAGCAGAGGGAGTGGGAGAGGGAGAAGCAGGCTTCCCACTGAGCAGGGAACCCAATGCGGGGCTCGATCCCAGGACCCTGGGATCAGGACCCGAGGTGAAGGCAGACGCTTAATGACTGAGCCACCCAGGCACTCCAAAATATTGCTACTTCTGCTTTCTTTTTCTTTTCTTTCTTTCCTCTTCCTCTTTTTTTTTTTAAGCTGAGTATTCTATGCTTATTTATTTTCAAACTTCTTTGTAACTCTTAGGTAGGAAGACTATTTCAGTTGTTTAAACCTTTCTGTTCTGTTCTTCATTTGTCTACAAAGAACTTTCTCAATAGGAAAGAGGATCTCTACAATTTTTTTTTTTTAAGATTTTATTTATTTATTTGACAGAGAGAGACACAGCGAAAGAGGGAACACAAGCAGAGGGAGTGGGAGAGGGAGAAGCAGGCTTCCCGCGGAGCAGGGAGCCTGATGCGGGGCTCGATCCCAGGACCCTGGGATCATGACCTGAGCCGAAGGCAGGCGCTTAACGACTGAGCCACTCAGGCACCCCGAGGATCTCTACAATTTAATAATAACTCTAACGCCTAGAAAGTGGGGAAATTAATGTTTTGTCTGTTTGTACTTGAACTTGTACTTAACTATTTTTTCTTAAATGTTACTGATTTGCCATATTGAGCTTTTCATTCTGAATCTAAAACATTTAAAAACTCTTATGTTAAAAACTGGAAACAGGGACGCCTGGGTGGCTCAGTCAGTTCAGCAACTGTCTT